GACACCTAGTGAAGTGTCATAATCGAGTCTAGGGGTCAGGTGTAACTTTCCAGTTTTGCCCATCTGTCTCCAAGGTCCAGGGCAACACTGGAAATTTGGTCTGGTTCAAGGATTCAAGTAATCCCATACTGCATGTGCCTCGGGTCTTACCCTGGTGGCTGAGATAGGCCATCCCAACACTTGGTGGCACACCAGTATCAGCCTTGGCAGGATAAATCTCCCTAGACTTATCCAACAGCTGTGAACATTTAAAACTAGCACGAATCTCTATAAAAGTCCAGTTTTAGGGTTTTGCACAGAATTAAACCAAACAACATGAAACAAACATGCACTTTATTTATTTCCACTAAATAACAAAAGTACATCAAATCGGATTGAAGCTAAGGGCATACAAAACTGTCTAACAATAACATTATTTTATGTTTTTTGAAAATTTTATTCTTCATCTCCTCTCTGTTATTTGTCGCCCATAAAAGGTTTATCATAAGTCATAATAAACTATAGTCATTTCTAAAACTTGCGTTATGAGTAGGCCGAGTTGGGGTTTAGAACTTATGAGGGTCGGGCTCGGGCTCAAGTTGTAGGCCCATTGGTCGGGCCTGAAAAAATTTTGTTGATGAAGTGCAAAAGCCCGACCCATAAATAGGCCTACCTGCAAAAATGTGTGTGTGTGTGAGAGAGAGAGAGAAAGAGAGAGAGAGAGAGCAGGGATGCAACTTGATTTTTGAATGGACCCCTAACTCATTCCAAAACCTGGGCCTGAAGCAATGTAAAATGTTAACTCGTGCCAACCTGAGTTCCACCCCTAAGGAAGAGAGAGAGAAGATTGTGGACCAGAGGCCAAAGTATCTCCTTGGCAGTGACTGTGAAACTACCAACCTACTACTGGGAAGCTACCTATTTTCAATCTTCAAATGTGCCTCATTGTATCAAACAAATTGTGGACTCTGATGTCTCGCCTTATATGACTGTATCATGGATACTGATGTTGAATGAATTAACCTAAGGCTTAAAAAATGAAAATAAGAAAAGAGACATAATAGATTGTATCATGGATATTGATGCTGAATGAATTAACCTAAGGCTTTAAAAAAATGAAAAGAGAAAAAAAAAGAGATAATATATTGTATATCAATAACCTTAGGCAATGTTTGGTTTAATTGAAATTAAGAGAGAAATAGAAAGTAGGAGGTAAATTTTGTAAAAATCTTTGAAAACTTCCTATCGACTTTCTGATTCTCTCTTAATTTTCTTTTAAACCAAAAACAACCTTACAAGTCAATGGGTTGACTCCGAGCTGGGTAGATCCATTAATTTAGAATATCCAAATCTAAGTTTTGGGTATTCTAAATCTAAGTTTTATGAGGTTTGTAAGGAATTGATGCTACTCAATTCGATGTGGTGCATGAACTGAGGAGAGCAACCAGATAGTCATTGCCAACGAGGTGGTGCCGAGTTACAAGGACGAGACCACGTTTCAAGACCTATGATCAAGAAAGGAGAAGTCAGAGGCGAAAGGAGTTATTCCCGGGTAGGTACTCCGACGCTCAAGTCAGTAGGAGGTAG